TGAAGGATGGGGTCTCATCACCATCTCATGAGTAATTCTCATGGAGGATGAAGACTATTTCTTCAGGTTTGTGCGTGAAGGGATGATTCAGGAGATGTGTTGGTAGGCCTCAGTGCGTTATTCCAGGCTTTGGAAACAGGAAGGCAACAGTTTGTTTCCAAACATGTTCAGTGTTTTGAAAACCTGGGACAGTAATTGCTCTCTGGTTGTTTGCACTGAGTACACAGATGGGGGTTTGGGACCAAATTGATTTCTGACGTAACTTTGGACATCGGTGGTGTTTCACCATTGGTGAATGTGGCCAGTCTTAGGTTTGTGAGATGACTGACTCACTCAAGAGCGACCCGCTGAGTCACAGGTCAGTGGACAAGTTGCATTGGAATATTATTGACATTTCTGAAAAATGGGCTTTGATTCTTAACATCTTTTTAAATCAGATTGCTTGGGTACTTTCAATGAAAGCATTGCAAATTGACTGTGATTTTAATCACCGTTTTATCTGATTTTTTTTATTTTCTGTAAGAATCTAAAATATTTAATTTAAAAGATCAGTCATTGAAATAGATGGATTAAATGATAAAGGATCTGATTCTTGGTTTAGGGAAGGTGAATGACTGGATCCTTGTGCTGGGACAGATTTCTCTGATGATGTAAACTGGTGGAGCTGGCAAGGCAGACTGGCCTGGAGTAGGGATCCAGTGCGTCCCCTCTGCTCCTGTGCTGCTGATAAACCCCAGGGCCAGGTGGGAGAGCTGGCAGGGTGATGCTCACCAGCCACAGCTGCTGCTGCAGGAGGTTACCCTTAGGGTCGCATGGTAGGTGGGGACTCGTGGGGCTTGAACCGAAACTGCCAAAACCAATTGAATGTGGAACTTCAATCAAGTTCAAAAAAATCCTTAATATTCAACAAAATCCTTAATGATTGTGGAAAACGTACAATAAAGCACATTTGTTAGCACATCACATCGTCCTGTTCGCTCTGTAGATTGAGGGGAGAAAAGCAAAGCCCGAGCCTCCCCCTCCTCTCGCTTCACCCCTTGATTTGGGCAGTGGTTCCCCGGGAGGGCAGTGAGGTCTCCTTTCCAGTCTGAGCCAAAATGGAGCCCTGTTAAGCAGTGGAGCAATGGGAAAGCTCATAGCCCAGCATCTGAGGGCTGCTCTGCTAAAGGGGTGCAGCCGCGGCAGCTGCCTTTGCTGGGGATACCCCGTATCACTGTCCTGCTGCCCCGGGGCAGCTCCATGCCAGCTACGCGCTGGGTTTGGGCACTGCCGTTCTGCATGGATGATCCTCGTCGTGCCTTAGTGAAGATGGGCTGAATGGGGAAGGGAAAATTGCTCCCTGCAGTTCCCTTTCCCAGCCGGCTGCCCCGTGAACAGCACGGCATCGCTGTCCCAGGGCCAGGGAACGGGCTGTACCCTTGGGTGGCCGGGCATCGCAGGAAGGAGTCTTGCTGTCCCACTGCCCTGCTGTGGCTAGAGCTGCTGCTGCTGAGGATCGGAGTCGGTCACTGGAACAGAGCTGCCTCTGTCCCTGCAGCCAGGAGGACAGGCAGTGAGGGCCTTTGGATTGTCTAATTTCGAGGCTCAGAGGGTAACATCCAGTCCGGCTCCGTTGCAGGTGTAGGCGTCACAGGTTTACTTAATGGTCTCAGCTCTGGCTCTGCATCCTAGCTGAATCCAGGAGGCTAGTTTTACTTGGGCATGAAAGCAGAACTGAGGCCACAAAGTTTGTGTAGAAGTCTCCAAAAATCACTCCCAGCATTCTGGCATGTCTGTGGCACTGTTGAGAGAGCAGAAGGTATTTCAGAATGCAGCCGAGGAAGGTCTATTACCTCCGTGCTGACATGAGAAACTAAGGCAGGGAGGGGACCAGTGACTTACCCAAGATCACACAACAGGGCCTTGGCAGACCTGGGAAAGGTGTGAGGAGCACCTGGATCCTAAACCTCTACTTTAGTCGAAGACCTGGCTTCTCCCAGCTCTATCAGCAGCCTCTGTGTTTCCCAGAGCTCCCCAGAGGATCTGGTTTAAGGCATGCGGACAACAGCATTACCTAATTCTGCTTTTTCGTATCTTTTTCATGCATCTGTGAAAGCACGACTGGTCTGGCATGCTTGATTTTAAATTTTTTTTTTTTAAACAGAGATTTTAAGATTTAGTATTTCTGGGGTTCAAGGGTGAACTGGTCTGCGTGAATAATTTCTGCTTCCATTTGCTGCTGCTAGTACTAAAATTTGCCAAAAGCAGCCTTTAATGGTAAGTCAATCCCATTATTCTTGTAGGGTCTGTGATCTGAGTAGAGATATGAAAATTCCCAGGAAGTTGCATTTCAAGTCCTGTACTAACCTTCTATAACTTTGACTGTATTATTTTAAAGGAACTTTGCCTGCCTATGCACTGTTTCTCTAGGAATGTAAAAATCCAACAACCATCACAAAAGCCATTCACATTAGCAGCTTGCTTGTGAATTTTAATTAACAGGAAATGCCACTCACGCATTGAAATTCAACATCCAGAATATCTCTGCTTTACTCCTTTGATGTTCCCCATCCAATCCTGGACCAACGTCCACATGTTCTCCCGAGACACTGGGAGGAAAATCATTCTAGTTTATTTACAGTAGGGGAGCATTCTGTAGTATCTTTTATCCCAGAAGCATTCAAGTTGCTTTACAAACATCACACAGAAGAGCTGCTATATGGGTCTTTACAGCAGTGAGTGATTCTGGGGCTGTGCTCAGCCGATGTGCACCCGGCAGTGATGCGGAAGTTCAGGAGAAAAAGGGAAAGATTCCTGAAACAAATGAAAGCCCGGCATGATAGGGGAAATTCAGCTATTGCAGTTTAGATAGCCTTGGTTCCCTTATCACATGTATCCCTCAACAGTCACTGAAAGGATGTTGCCGGGATTTTTCTATATTTCTATAGTAGACACCTAAGAAGACATGACCTGGGTCTGTATCACCATAAGTTGTTCATTTGCATGTGATTTTAACAAGCAAAGAATCACCACTAATGGGCTAATCTTTCCCACACCCTCAATTTCTTGAATTGGCAGAATAACGTGATCAACAGGTGCTGATGATATTGCCATGAAGAAATATCTTCAGCCTTAAATCATCCTATTTTTAGCCCTCCACTACTCTGCTTTATCCAGTCATTTTCTTAAGCTGTGTAGTTCATGTACCCCACACTCTACCTGTGATATAGCTGCTCCTTTACATTGTACCCCCTCCCATCATCGTCACCCCCGCAGGGTTACCCTGTCACTACAGGTTGAACTTGCAGGTGTCTTGGCAAGAGACTCCTGTTCGGACTGCCCTGAGCCCCACTCTGTGAGCACTGCAGTCTGCAAAGCAGAAATGGATTTCAAATCTCTGTCCTGGTTGGTACAAGCTCAGCCACCGTCCCTAATCAGAGCAAAGCCAGTCTATGCTTACCAGCTATGATGAATAAAATGAAACCCTCTGTTGTCTTCTTATAGTTCCAGCAATCTAGTTGCAGGCATGTGGGTCTCTCCTTTATCTCCTACTGTAGTGCTAAAAAGTCGAAATCAGGGATGTTAGAAAATTTTAGAGCTTAAGCACTATAGAGACTGGAGCTAGTCAAGAAAGCAAAGCCCCTTTATACCACCTGGGAGCTTGGCCAAGAGATCCCCAATGACACAGTGGGAAAATGCACTTTGGAGCATCCTGGGGACACACAGTGTATGCATCCCCAACACTGGCTCGCAGCCTCCCGTTTCTCCTTCACTTCCTCAGTTCTCCTTAAAACTCTCCCACCCACAGACTTTAGTTTCTGAGCTGAAATGAAGACAGACCTTGAGGTATTTTAGCAGAATGTGACCGCAAGATGTCACAGTTGCTTTGCTGAGATGCGCGGTCCTGCCCGTGTCCTACTCCCCAGCCTTTGCCCGCAGTTCTTCCTGTATCTTTATAAGCACACACACTTTTAATTGTTTGGGGTTTTGGTTTGGTGGGGTTTTTTTTGTTTTTGTTTTGTTTGTTTGTTTGTTTAGCAAAGCAAGCTTTGTTCCTTGTGTCCTAGGGAAAGTTCGGCATTCATGGTTCTAGCTCATTTGGAAATTATCAGTTCAGGGTATAAAATAGAAGGTATCCCAGATTTAGGATAGTCCAGCCTGCAGAGATCAATTTTGAGTTGAGCCAGAGGAAAAGCTAGGTTTGACTTTGCATACAAACACTTCTTGGTGCTGCTTGGAGTTACTGGTCAAGCACAGCTCCCCCACAGACTTCAGCTCCCCTTTGCCAGATGATGCAGCAGGCTCAGAAAACACTAATCACTGTGTTGTGGACTTGAGGTTTTTTTGGTTCTTTATTGCTAACATTTTTATTTTGCTGCCCAGAAAGCTACCTGCTTAGCCTGGATGGGGTCCCGGGGGCTGATGAAATCAGTTAGCTCAGAAATAGAGTGAGGAAGAAGTTTAATGTCAGAATAGCAACTAAGAAGAACCTGATGAGTTTTGCAGAATACAAGTATGGGCCTTTTGGGGTGGTCCAAATTGAATTCAAGACCTAATTCATGGCCTGTGCAAGCAATTGCTATGGATGCTCCAAACAAATGGCACTTTCTTTCACGCCCGCCTGGCTGGTGCCTCTTCCCAGCTGGAGTCAGTCAGAGTTTCTCATTCGGTGTCTGTGCTCCGGGGCACCAGGAGGAAACCTTTGCTCTACCAGCCATGTGAGAAACAGAAAAAAATCTAGCAATAAAGCAGAGTAGTCGCTGAGCAGAGCAGCAAGGGCGGAAAGGACCTTGTCTGGTACCTACAGGAAGGTCCGAGGAAGCAGGCAGAGGTTTGCTCTGCCCGCTTGTGCTCGTGATTGCTCGTCCTCCAACGACTGCCGCTGCCGTGGGGTCTGGCCACGTCCCCTGGGGAAGGGTGCTGCTGTCCCACCACTCGCCAGAGCCCCGCGTGCTCCGTCCCCAGGGGCGGCAGGGACAGGGCTGACCTCCAGCCCTTTGCTCTCTCCCGCCCAGGGGAGCATGAGAACATCCCGGGGGCCCGGCGGTTCCCACCCGGCGGGAGGGCTCGGCTCGGCTCGGCACGGGACAGCGGGTCCCTGTAAAGAGCGGCCTCAGCGGCGGCTGGGTGAGCTGCGTTGCCTTTGCCCACAAGCAGTGGCTTAGTGTGAAAGGATCTGGCAAAGAGGCGGGTTTGGTGGGAGCCAGGGAAGGCTCCTGTAACCCATGAGCTCAGTGCAAGGGGGTGGGCAGTGGTGGTACACATTTCTTGTGTGCCAGCTAATCGGAGGAGGGGAAATCCTCTTCTTTGGAAACATAACTGAGGAGCAAACACCACGGGCTGGTCCTCATCTCCCGGTGAGTGGGTTGGGTGGCTGGAGCTCTGTGCTCTGCACATCCCAGGGGTCAGGCGAGTCGGTCCCATGGGGACCACACATCCTGGCTTGCACATCTGGGAGCTTCTTAGCGCTTTGGGAATCCTGCCTGTGGCAGGGCTTGCTTTGCAGTGGATTTGCTGGCTATAGGGAATTGGGAAAGGTTCAAGTTTGAAGCTTCATCTTGCTCTGCTAGGACTATGAGATGGGCCTTTAAGCAGTTTGTGTACCCTGCACACAAGCTCACGGTTTCAGGAAGGAGCAGCAGCCTGCCAGAAAAGATGAACAATTGTCAGCACATGGTTTGCTGGATCCTACCATACCCTTTGTGCCATGACTGATGTCTGAAAGTGGAAAAGCTCCCCTTCTCTCTGAAAGGAGTCCCAACCTTGCTGCTGGCTGGTGAGCAGTGAGAGAAGTCAGCTGGGATGAGACAGCTGATTTCCCCGTGAGGGGTGGTGACACCCCATGTCCCATGTGATGCTTGTTCCATCTTCGTCAGTCCATATGTCATTGACTCATTTTTTTCAGCTACGTGTTATGAAAATAAGCCTTCTCTGCAACAACAATAGTATCAGAAGAAGTGTAAAGCCCAAGCAGTGCTGTGCATCCTGGCTCTGTCCTGTAGTGGGGTTATTCCCCAGGCTTCATGCACCAGGTTTGCCCATTCACTTCAGGAATTGCCAGCGCTGCTGATCTGAATTGCCTTAAAACGTAGTGACGTTTGGGGTGGGGTTTTTTTGAGTCCTGGCTCTCTGGTGCCAGCTGCCTTGGTTTCCTATCCTGCATCTCCCAGCAGCTGCATCCAGGATCTTCTCAGAGCAATAAGGTACTGGAGCATGGAGAGTTTTCGAGCAAGACTGGGGCACCTCTCTGCTGCTGGGTAAGTAGTGCCTGCTTTAATGCCTCTCATTTCCTCTGTCTTGATAGCCGTTGAATGGCCTTTTTCCACTGAAAAACCTCCTTTGCTAGAGAAAATTCTCCCTCAAATGATAACTAAGGCTGCTGTCAGGCAGGGGGAGACAGGGATTGCCTGACTGAGCTTAATCCTGGGGAGAAGCTCCTTCTCCCCACCAGGTTTTCTGCTCTCTGGAGAGTCACTCCAGATGTGCAGTCTGAGAAATGATATTCCTTCCCAAACATTTGTTTTCATTAGACATTTAAATAGCTTTATGGGACATTTCATCCTGTCTGCAGTGGCCAAATTCTTATCCTTGGAGATTTCCTCTGGTACTGGAGCTTTAGTGTGAAACTGTTTTCTCTGATCAGTTCTGTATTTGTCACCCTTAAACCTGCAGTTTTTTGTTTGGTCTCCTCTTAAGAGGCAGGGAGAGCTGAAACTCCCACTCACGTGTCTCTCATTCATTGAACACTTTGTAATTACAGAGCTGGTCTAACGATTTCCACAGCAGCCAGGAGCCTCCTCTTTCTCACTCCAGCATCCCCTAAATAACCACTAAAGCCACTCCTAGCCACTGCCAATGAGTTGACCCCTCTGAATGACTTTATTATGATTTTTATAGAATAATACAATGCTTTCCTTTGCTTGCATTAAAGGAGGAGCAGTTGCATTGTGCTTTTTATTTGATCTTTCAAGAAATGCCTTGAACTTCCCTGTCTTGCACGCTTCCAGGGAAGATCTCAGTCCCTGCTACTCAGGTTAGCAGAGAAGTAGAGAAGAGTGAGACCAGAGGCGCTCAGACAAGGACAGTATAAAGACCCATGAGTGATCATCTCGAGAAAGCCCCAATTAGTGCATTTCTGTACTTCCTCTGCTGACACTCAGGTACTTGTTCTTTTTACAGGATGAGAGCCCATGCCTACTGTGAAGACTTTCTACTCCCAAAGGTTTGCAGGACCACGGTAGACCTGTGGTCGGTTTACTCCAAGCCTGTCCCAGCAAACGGCAGAGAGCTGTGGACCTTGTTTCTGCAGTGTTCATGCATTACAGTGGTGATAGGAGGCCTCTTTTACAACTGGATGTTTGCTTCCCTGGAATACTCCTGGCATCTCTCCATTGCCATGGCCATGTCCTTCAGTCCGCTCCTTCTCCTGACCCTTTTCTTGGTGCATCCTGCCCGTTGTGTCTTCAGTATGATCATGCCTACGTTAGGTACCAAACAAGGCCGGAAGCTTCTCTTGTCAACCTGCATCATGATAGTAGTGATTAACGTAACACCCAACATCATAAGCAACATTAAAACCATACTGCAGGTTTTTAAGTGCATCTGCAAGAATTCCTCTGAGAGTCTTTTGAACTCAACTGCTCTGCTAGCAACAGCTTCCTGGGAGTTTGGGGGTGCAATCCAAGAAAGCATGAATTCCATTAATATTTATAGGCCTATGAATGGACATTTTCAGTTTTCATTGCTTAAGAACAGCTCCTTTATTTACCAACAAATGCACCTTGCTGGTGAGAAAATTGGGAGGGACCTTTTGGCTGTTGAGGTACTGGTCAAAGACTCTGTACAAGTAGGCAACAAGCTGGTTGCTGGCTTCTCCGTGCTCTATCTTTGTTTTGAGTCCACCTGGTATTTGAAAAATTATCTCACCAACCTCCGCTTTGACAATTTTTACATCACCAAGAAGTTGGAACGTTTAGCTGTGGCCAGAAAAGCAGCTCACCTGCTGGTGGGCTCATCCAAAACCCTCATTCGACCAACAGGCTTGAAGTTGTCCCGGGAAGAAGTGATGCTGTGCCTCGTGCAAGCCATGCTCCTCACCGTGGCCCTGATGCTGATGCTGGTGGTCGTGGCAATGGACCACTTTGCATTTAGTGTGGCAGACACCGCGGTGAGAAAGGCAGCTCAGTTCTCCACAGTGCCTGTCACTCTCAGCATTAAATACCGTGTAAGTGCTGGTGTCCCCTCTCCTTCCCTGTGCGGGGACCCCGCTGTGTATCACATCACAGGAGGCAGCGGTGGGGATTGCAGTCTTTGTAGCCTTATTTGCATGATCTTGACTTCCCTCCCCAGCAGCCAGCTGTACAAGTAACGTAACAGGCTTGGCGGGGAGGAGGTAGAGGCACAACCTCTGTTGCTCCTTCCAGTGCATCTAATAGCAGCATATACCCTCTCCCAATTACAGCCCCTTGGGAGCGAGGAGGGGAGCAAATAGTGCCTGACGCTGCAAAGACACGGCTAGCAGGTGGCAGTCAGATGTCCCTGTATCTCCAGGTCCCTTCCCTAGGCAGGGTGGAGGAATGGGTGTCCCTGCAGCACCATCCCCTGCCACAGAGTGGGTGCAAGCACAAAAGGAAGGAGGAAGCAGATGACTACGTGTCTCAGCTGTGAGGATGTCTCCTCATCTTATTGCACTGGCTGTCCTTTAAGGAGAAAGCTTTGTTGTCACCCTGTGCAATGCCTTTCACAAACCTCCCCAGTTTCTATTTTAATATCCTTTATCTGGACTAGCTCTGGGTTAGTTTTTTAGCTTTCTTCTATAATACAGCCTGCCTCCCTCCCCAGCCCCAGGGTTCCTTAGTGCACTTACTTGCTTATGATGAATTTACAGTAAAATAATCAGGCCTCAGAAAAAAACCTAATATTCGCTTATGCAGCCACTAATACTGCTGTCTGGATGACGTCTTTCACTGTAAATCTCACACAGTGAATACCTGTTATGATCTCTGTAACAGCAGATAAAGATGACAGATGACTGGGTCTCATTGTGCCAAGTACTCAGCACCTACAGATCATGCTGTTATTCTCACTCAGCCTGAAGGGTATATGCGCTTCGATGTCCTCCTCTCAATGCACCCAAACAAGCTGTAACGGTGATTACACCCCTCCAGGCTGATGTTTTTGTAGTAACCAGATGATTTCAGTTTGTTCATACCCCATTTAACTTTTAACTCTCTTTATTTCAGGCTAAAATGGGGATCCTGCACTTTTTTTGGAAAATTTTATGGCTTCCCGATGAAGAATTACCACTTCAGGACTTTGAAGGAAGTTACCAGCATTATCTGACCTTCAGCTCTGCCCACTGCAGGGTCAGTCCCCCAAAGCCTCCCAACCCCTCTGTGCTGCTTGTTGTGGGGCTGCTCTTCTGCATCCTGTATGCCACCGTATTCCTGGAAACCTATGCACACCGCCTGTGCAGAAAAATCGCAGGCTCCTTCTTCGAGAGCTGGGAGGAGAAGCGAGCACTTTATCTCTACAAGAAGCTGTCCAGAAAGCACAAGGAGGAGCAAAACTGCATGAGAAACTAAGGATACTTTTGGAAATACAGGGAATGCCTGAGACCTGTGGCAGTGGCTGGGCACAGACGTCTGCAACGGGATCACACATTTAATCTTCCAGAGTCAGAGACATGTTTGGACTGTCAGGAAAAATATTTGCCAAAAAAAGAAAAAAAGGCGAAATGTCACATTTTGCATAATTTGAGAAAAATGGGCTAAATTTTCTTTTTTTTTTTTTTTTACTCTAGAAGGCATGGAGTCAGCTTTTCAGGAATGGTGGGAGATGATAGCTCATATGACTTGGAGGATATCTGCAGCATTAGGCAAGGCTAACTGGGAAATATGTGGGAGTTGGGGTGCGGGAAGAACTTATTTACCTCCCCCATCACATGCATGCTGGAAGAAGTACATGCTTCCTTTCTTTCTCAAGTTATGCCTTCAGGCAACAAAAAAGGAAGCTCATTTGACTCATTAATTTAATTTTCAGGAGGTTTTTCTTTCAGGTTTCATGCACAGAAACCTGGGTAGGCTGGATAAATATTAGCCTTTAGAAGATAGTTTATTCACCTAAGAAAGTGTCATTTCAGCCCACTGAAATAAATTCAGGACCAATATGACCATGAGATGCACATCCTAGTCATAGGTACTGGTGGAAATCAGCACGTGAGGACTTTATGAAATCATTTCACAATGGCTTCTCAAAATAAAATATAAATAAAATAGCTGAAGGACCTTAGAAGAGGAGGAGACCAGCCAATAAAGGCCAATTTGGGTGTCAGTCTTTTTACCCAAGCAACAAGTGATAGCATGAGAGGGAACAGCCTCAAGTTACACCAGGGGACATTTAGGTTGGATATTAGGAAAATGTCTTTGCCGAAAGGGTTGTCAAGTGTTGGAACAGGCTGCCCCGGGAAGTGGGGGAGTCACCATCCCTGGGGGGATTTAAAAGACCTGTAGATGTGGCACTTAGGGACATGGTTTAGTGGTGGACTTGACAGTGCTAGGTTAACAGTTGGACTCTGTGGTCTTAAAGGTCTTTTCCAACCTAAATGATTCTATGATTCTAATTTAGGCCAACATCCTGGAGGACTTCAAAAGTAGTAGACAGAAACTTGACATTTGAATCAGTGCTCTGCAGGGAACAGGGAAGTAGCAGGACTTGGAGGGCTGGACTTGCCTGAACTGAGAGCTGGTTTTACATGTTGGGTTGTTTAAAACTCAGAAACTCTGGTATTGTATCCAAGATGGAAAAATCCATCACTGAGGCAGTGTCTGAAACATGTTATTTTTGAAAGAGAGGCAGATCAGAGACCTCTGTAAGGGCAAGAGCCAGAGGGGGAGATAAATCAGTGCCAGGTTAAAAACAAAGCAACTTCGCAGCTTCATTTCTTCAAAGCATCTCTATTATTTTCCTCCCATCTCCCATTAGAGTCTTCATTAAGATAATTATTTGACATAATGCACCTCAATGAGATTAAATTACAGAAATGAAGTGGCAGCTGCAGTCAGATGCACCGAATTCTCTCAGCTTCTGAGGTGCTTGAAACAAAGTAGGTCTGGATTTTTTTTTTTTAAAGCATCCATCTAACAAAACCCTGGTGCATTCATCTCCCCCGGTTTCTCAATTTCCTGCTGTTATGATGATTAATCCAAGCACCTTCCTGCCTCTACAGCAACTAGGGGACTTTGTCATGAGGTTTCTGTAGAAATGCTTTGTGTTGTTGTTTGGGGAAAGCAAATAGATTTCCACATGCCCATTGAGTAGTCAAAATGATCTGGAGCCAGGAGTTAAAATAGCTGGGAGGAGGAGCCCCTTCAGCCAGCAAACCATCCCAGCAGCGTGTTGCCTTCCAACAAACACATCTTTAAAAAAAGTATCTCCTTGGGAAGACTCATCTTTTTGGCAAGAGATGCGCATTAATGTTTAAGAAATAATTTTTTTATGGCCAGCGGCATTTGGGGAACTCCCCTGAGCAATATCCAGTTCCTCTCCTTGCTTCTGAGGGAGGTCTTCAGAGGAGATTGGGGCATGGGGAGAAGAGGCTGAAATTGTGAAATGCTGGGGACCAGCATGGGTCAGGCTTTGTTTTAGAGATGGGCTCTCCGGGTTCAGATGGGAGTTTGGAGCAGGTGGGACCACAGAGCTGGACTAAGAGGACTAAGTACCAACCTGAGTGTCCCACTGCATCCTTCAGACAGGCACTGTGCAGCTCCCAGCCAGGGCAGCTGAGCAGTGTGTGAGGCAGCTCCTGAAACACCCCTTTTCAGCCTCAGAAATGGTATTTATTAGGAAAAACTGACCCCAGTCCAGAGCAGTTCTCCCTGTCTTCTCTAGAGTTTCCTTCAGCTCCCACTAAATTTTAACCACTGAAAACTAATCCTGGGAACTTTGCACTTCTAGACTGTAAAATTCAGCATCAGACAAGCCTTGATTAGTGTAATTACATCTGCTTGAAAGGATAATAATCAGTGTGAGGTACTGCTGCTCTGCCTCTGCCCCCAGAGTCGCAGCCTTCATAAACCCATGAGGCAGAGTTGTGCTCCCATTTCCATTCTGCAGAAGAGGCTAAGGACAAGAGTTTATAAAGTTCTTTGGTGGGTATCACACCAGTTTCAGTGGGTTTGTTGACAAGGGAACCATGGGCAGCAGAGCCCTTGTTGCCTGCCTGCATCTAGAGATCAATTGTCCTGCCCTTGTTTGGACATCTGCCATAGGAGGCAACAGATTGTGCCGCAGGTGCCATCCCTCTCCTCGGCCTTGGGACTCTCATGCAAGGCGTTTAGGTTTAATAGCCATGTAGAAATCAGCAAAGGAAGAATTTGGGTTTAGAAGGTGAACACCTTGCAAAGCACTGGTGAGGAGGTAAGGGTTGGGCGGGAGCTGAAAAACTGGCTTTTGTTATAGTAATGCTGAGGTTTGTTACTTAGAAAGGAGGGTAATAAACGTTGTGAAGTGTCATCTCACTGGTGTGAAGAGTTTTTTTTAAATGTAGGAAGGAAAAAGTCACTTTGATACCCATTATGGTTATTTTAGAGGTGAAGTTGTACTGGTGTTGAAAAGTGTGCGTGCTGAAGGCAGATATACTTGTCTATCACTGAGAAAGTGAGCGAGCGGCTGCGTGGTGCTTAGTTACTAGCTGGGGTTAAACCACAACAGAGACTCAGCGAAGAAGAGCTCTGAGTGGTTTCCAGCCTGAAGGACCGGTGAGGAGAGTCACAGGGAAACCACAGGTATGGAGTTAAACCTGAAGAAGTGTGTGGCAGAGGTGAGACCCGGGGCAGCTTGCATGGCTGGCAAGACCTTAATTCTTGACATCCCTGGGGGGTGTCAGCAGGAGCCCAGGAACAGAAATGGGAAGGGAGGCCCTGAGGAGTGAGGGATGCTCCCACTGTCCCTGCTTCAGCAGGAACAGCTTGTGCAGCACATCAGCCACATCATCCCTGGTGCCGAATTGGGCTGTGATGCTTTCCCTGGGCAGGGGGGATGGTGAGAGGCAGACCTGCTGGAAATTGCTTTGCTCTCCTGTGAGGTGTTGTTCCTCAGCAAGACAAAGGCATGACAACATAGAAAATGTTACCCATTATAGAGTCATATTATGTGCTCGAGAGGTAAACTGACTTGCCAGAGTTTGCTTAATGGTGCAGCAGAGAAATACTGAACAGATTTAACTGGCAGGCAAAGTTAATTTATTCACATATTTTTATTAAGTAGTACTAATTCACAAGCCTCATTATTTGCTAAGGGATTTTCATCCCTCAGAGCCCCTCCATACTCCCACCCTCACTTCTGCTCATTACGGCTCTCGTTGCCTTCGTTTTCCCTCAGCACCACCCTCCTGTCTCGCAGGCAGGAGGAAGCGGGGAGCGAGGCTTTGCTTCCCCCCACAAGCTCCTGGTGCTCTGCCTGGAGCCCACAGGGCAGGTCCTGCGAGTCCATCTTCTCCACAGGGGAACTACCTGCTGGGCAATGCTGCTCCTACACTGGCACAGTGGCTTATTTACTGTCTCTAACTGCTTTCTGCAGGGAAGGATTTCATCATGTCTAGCTTCTAGGTTTGGAAATTTGTGAAGTTGAAAGTTCAGGGTCAAACGTTTGTGTGCAGTGAGGCAGAGGCAAGGCTGGGTGGGCTGGAGAGCATTTGGTGATGGGTACCAAACTTCCTTGCTGTTGCTCATTAATGCCAGCGCCAGCTCACATCTTTGCCAATCCAGCCTTGACCCTGCTGTCGTGGCTCGTCATTGTAACTCAAATCTGCTTCAGCTGCCACCACTGGAAATGTTGCCATTGATTTTGGGGGAGCTGGAGCAGCCTGCTGTATCCGCAGTTGCCCTTCCCTGCTGCTTGCTGTTACAGAGCTGGATGCTGCAGTAACCCATCGAGGACATGGGAACCAGAGGGCTTTCTGGAGGGCTGGGCAAGAGAGGGGACTTGCAACTGCAACTGGCAGCTCTCCCTGGAGCTCCTGTCAGAGCAGGGCTCGTTGCTGGGGGCAAAGTTCTTTATTTTGGCCTTGGTTGACCCTGTCCGGAGTCGTTTCCCTCACCAGGTCACCCTGAGGTCCTTTTTCCCAGGAGTTACCACCACATGCTGCCTGCGGAGCTGTCTGTTTGGCAGGGCACGCAAAACTGGATCAGGCAGGGCTGTTTGCCTGTTTTCTTCCTTGCACTTGTTGAGGTTTGAGACTTCTTAATTACCTAGAGAAAAGTTAATTACAAGAGAGAAAGGCACCCATGGATTACTCTTTCCTCCATCAGTGCAATAAGCCCAGGGGACAGAAAGACCCTCACACCTGGGACAGGATCTGCCCCGAAGCCCCTGATTCCCTTAGGGTTTTGTGGTGTATTTTTAAGGATTTTTCATAGATAAAATATATGCTAAGTTCCTGGTTATGGCTGGCTGGCAGTCAAGAATGAATGGCCTTAATATACTGAGGAGCAAATGTAAACTGTTCAGCTAAGACAGCGCTCTAGGAAAGATCTCATCCACAGCCACAAATCTGCATCTACCAGAGCAGACACCCAAGCAAACA